TAAGACAGAGATAAAGTGAAGAACAAAGTTTCAAGTTAAATAGACTGGTTAAAATTCCAACTCCTCCATTTCCAGCCATGTGGCTTTAGGTAAGTTACTTAACTTTTTCAGAGTCAGTTTCCTGATTTTAAAACGACAATAACGATAATGGACAACCGTAAGATTAAATGAGAATACGTGTGTCAAATGCTTAGCACAGTTCTTAGATTGATAATGCTCCTTTTGAGGCAAATGGCTTAAAAATCACCTACACATTGGAGGCTCTATCTAAACGATTTCATACCATTCCTAATGGGCTATCTAAATCTTGAGCAGAAAAAGAATCTAATAGAACAACTGACAATTGTTCTTCTTGGAGAAGAGTGCAAAAAAATCTAAGTACAAACCTCCACATTTATTACCAACATCATAAAGTCTGTGAATGGACCTAGCAAAACCAGTGAACATACTCAAGCAGTCACTAACACAACACAATTCTTTGTATTTAATCTAGCCCCAAAATAGACTCAGAAGAGTTAATAATGTCAATATCTCATAACTTGGGAAGTTTAGAAAGAGTATTTCCCCTGAGCTAAAAAGAAATGCATACTTAACCAGTATATCATGGAAAACAAGAGACAGTGTTTTTGAATAAGAACCAAATAAAACCACACACATTTTAGGAAACACCGGCATAATATGACACCACTCTCTAAGGCCACTGTGGTTAGAATGAGTGGACATGGGTTTAAATTTCAACATTATGACTTGGAAATTAATTTCCTGAGTATTACTAAACATTTGATTAACAAGGAAGGCTTTTGAATTTCTGCTTAATTAAAGACCTTTAAAATGAAAAGAAATTCTCATTTATGTATTAGATCTATGACATTCTCTTCCTTAATCAGTAAATTCCAATAAGCATGCTGTGACACATCGATGTCTAACAAGAAGAATTTTATTCACAAAGTTCTAGGTTTAGAACTTTCTCTGAATCAGGTCTATTGATCAGAACAATACAGTCCACCTCTGGGGGTATTAGGAAATGTGGAGAGGGGGCATTTTGAAATTGTCACGATGACCTCGGGGGAGAGCAGAGGGGAAGGATGTTAATGGCAATTAGTAGTTGGACCCAAAATGCTAAATGGATGATAGTCACAAACTACACATGCCATAACATACCATCTACCCTACTCTTCCACCCCTACAAACAAATTGTATAAATGCTCCCCATTCCTCTCTCTCCTAAAGAAAAGCCAAGCCAGAATATTGGCTTTAATCTTCAAAGTCCAGGGCTCAATATGGAGACCAGAGGGTGTACAAGTTGTAATCTACTGGTAGGCAGCATAGTTACTACTATTCTTGTCAGATGCTGTCTTTTTGCCTCTTTTTTTCATTATAATAATAAAGTACACTCTTCTCTAGATTCTATGCTCACAGTTTTCTCCACCAGCATGCTACTGCAACCTTGCTTTAACACCAAACTTGCAGTTAGCAGACAAAAGTTCTCCACTCCAGTAAGGTATGTGATAACAAAAATCTGCAAGTATCCTTGGAATCTCGCATCCATAGATGCAAGGAAGAGGAAGATCCATATGCAACATTTTGTGTATAGTGGCATATGTGCATCTTAAAGGAGATAAGGTCCACAGTTTCCATAAGGTTCTCAAGAGTCTATGACCTTAAAAACATTAAAACAACTGCTCTATTGAAAACGATTCCAAAAATCTTTGATGATTCCCATGGTCAAAAATCTCTGGTTTCCCAATATCTATAATATATGTTTAAACTCACTCAACATGTTACCCAAAGCCTTCCATAATGCAGCCATTATCCCAACTACCTGGAATTTAAACCTCTTCTGTCAATTTTCTTTATGTACCTTTTGATTCTAACAAACCAAACTACTTCCTTCAAACATATGCTTTCCTATCTGAAGGCTCTGCTCACAATTTCCTCTTCAGAAACATTTTCCTATATCATCGACCATCAAATTCCCAATCATTCTTCAAAGTCCAGTTCAAATGCCACACCTTTATAAAGATTTTCCTGTCTACTCAGACGAAATTAACCTTATTAGCAGCTGTGCTTCCATGGTATTTTGTACTTTTCCTCTACCACTTGTCATATTCTACCTAGATTCATGGTTATAGTATTGTAATGCCTTCCTTGCCCTATTAAAATGTAGCTAAAGGGCAGGAGCTACGTCTTATGCTTCACTGTGATCACCAGTAGGCAGCACAGCACCTTACATAATAGAGATGTTTAATGTAAATATCTATTAAATTAAATCTGATTTGAAGGGAAATTTGACTACTATTAAACAATGATGAAAACTACACAGAGCAAATACCTGAAAAGGATATGGCAATTACGCCCCCTGAAACTTACAAAATGGCCATTTTAGTCTAATTTTATACAATCACACCCATAAATTCTTTTACACAAAAGAGAAAGACAATTCAGTTATGGAAGTCTGTATGAATAAACAGCCTTAAAATAAATGAATGTAAAAAAAGTATTCTGAAAACTGTTAAGCATTATATAATTATGGATTTTAATTAATCATGATTATTACACTCCACTATCCTTAACCACAGTACATGTTTTAACTACGAGACTGTTTATATTCTTCATCAGAGCTCTACTAAAATTTTCTATGGGTTAAAATTAATTAGTTTGAAACAATGATAACTATGTTAAGATGATTTAGGGACGATTAAATAACTATGCCCGGGTTAAATTAAATCCTAAAAATATGAAAAATCTATAAAGGAAATCAAGTCTGTGAAGTTTTATATTTTATGATTATATAAAACTAAGTATACTAGACAACTATAAAATAAAAAATGAAGACTTACATAGATTCCTTTGGCTCCCTTGGTTTAAATTTTAAACTATTTATTCCTAGGAAGTTTTTTACATGACGATTCAGGGAGTAATAAGACTTAACCAATTGAGAAAAGATACTTTGGACTTCACATAGCAATCTAGATCATGGGGGAAAAAACAACTATTTTCTCAGTCAAGAGTGCTTGCCTAATTTGAGTAGCTTCAAGGCTCTACAGCATGGAGTTCTAGGCAGATGCGCCGGGCATAATAAACGAGTGAAACAGAAACCTCTGGGTCAATTTTAAGTGCTAAATAATTGCTTTAATTTTGTATAGCTTGTGAACTTCTTATAGGAAAGACGTGTTAATAAAAAATATGTTCATGGGTTAGTCAATTTCTATTCTTGTACCCAAGGCCATATGCTGCTAATTATTCAAGAGTAAATACTAGAAATGCTTTGTGCTTACACATTTCTATTATACAAGGGCTCTTTATATTATATTGTTATGCAAAAACAAAAATAATTAGGGACTTTTTGGTTTAAAAATATACAAACACTTGCTAGCTGGAATATTCAAAAAAGCAGTATACAATTAAAAAGGAATAGGAGTAGTACAAAAAGCATTTATAATGTCAAATAAAATGCCTTACAGTTAATAAGACATGTGACAACTGATATAAATCTCAATAAAACAGACTGAGCTATACGAAAACAAGTTTATATTCTTTGCATACTCTTTTGTGCATCTTCTCTTTCTCTAAAAAGCTTATTAAAGGTGGGAAATAGTCCAGAGAATTTCAGAATCAATATTATTTTAATTCCGCATGTTATGACACCTAGATGAATGACAGAATTCAGTCTTGGTTGTAAATACTATGATTTAAAAAGTTGGTCCTCTATTTTATAAAGAATGCTATATATATACAAAAGAATGATGCAATAGGAAGTACAGAATGGTAGATTGGTAATCAGAAAATTTAAATTCTATGTTCTAGCTTTGCCACTAGGGGAGCTACGTAAACTTTGGCAAATATTTTCTTCACTTCTCTGAGTCTCAGACTCCTTATCTCACCTATAAATAATGAAAGTGAGATGGCTGATTTTATGTTCTATTCTAGAAATTATGATTTGGTTCATATAAGCCAAGAGTTTTACCTAAAAAAAAAAGAAAAATATACATATATATATATATAAAATATCTATACGTTAATGCTGGTTAAAAAGGAGAATTACAAAGCATTGGACACTGAAAATTCAAATATAAAAATTTAAGTTCTATATGAACAAATACACTTAAAAAAATAATCAGGTATTTTGAAATTTAAGGACAGGCAAACAAGGAGTAAAGAATAGTCACTGTTAATAAAAGCATAATCGCAACAGGAAACAACATGGCTAATTAACCCCCAGTTTTTGGCTGAAAAATATTATAAATTAATGCTTCCTCTAACTATTTTAGAATGTTGATAACTAGTAACATCCTGCATGAATATTAAGAACGTGACATAATATAAAATTAACAGAATTACTAATTGATTCTGAAACTAAGCAAACTTCACTTGAAAGCCAAAATCAAATTATTTTTATAAAGAAACAATTCTATAACTTACGAAAGTGTTCAAAGGCAGGATCCGAAACTGAAAGTATAGAACTGTAAAATTTATGGCTAAAGGTTGCAGGGGAGCCATACAACATTTCTACTTTTGTTTTTTCTAAGATTCATTTGGCAAAAAAGAAATAATAAAAATACCATGTAACTCTATCTTCAAATTTCTTTTTTAAATTAATTATAAAATTAAAGAGGCGTGAAAGGAGGCCCCAGAGCTTAGGACTGCCCAAGAATAAACTCCTTACATAGTAGAATCCTACATTGAGAGAAGGAAACCCTTTATTGCTCAAACAACCTGTGAGTAAACAACTTTGATCATGGACCTCTAATACACCCACCAAGAGAGTCAATGAAAATTAATAGGACTGTACTGAGGTTCTTTCTTAGAGAATATGAAAAATAAGGTAACTATTCATTTTGCCAAGACCACAATATAAATTTTGTCAATCTGATTGTTATAGATCAAACCAATTTGATTATCTTAAGGTGAAACCTTACTCCTGAAAATTATGAAGCACAAAATATCAATTAAGATCTTCAAATAGGCCATCAAATTTGTTTTTTAAAAAAGTGTCTTACTGTAATGAAGTCATCCCCTTTAACCATTCTTCCTTGGTAAAAAATCCCATGCTTTCAGCCTCCAATTTCCACGCTAAAACTAACATAATAATCTGGAAAGAACAGAACATAAAGGATAGGGGAAAAGTCAGCACAGAGATAATCAAGTCTATATTTATCATGGAGAGCATTTTTATACAACTATTTCCATCCTTCAACTATTAAAGAGTACAACCTCTGGAATTATTAACTATAAAGAAATTAAGATGGCTAATTTCTTTAAAGTAAAAAGTTCTAACAGTTTCTGAAGGTAGAATCTCTCACTCGATTACAAATGACATTTGTATCAAGAAAGAGAACATGTGCCCCACTTAAATTGATTAAAAATACCCTAAATGAAAATCTACAATATTAAATATGAAGAAACAAAGTCTTCATATAAGATTAAAGTGTCCCGATTTTTAGAAATTTATGAATATGCTACACCCCACTTGTATTCCATTCTACTTAGAAATAAAACATACATTTTCAGGTTCAACACCAATGTCTTCACAAAATTTTTCCATTCCTTCTGGCCCTACAACTTCATCAGGACCTTCAAAGACAAAAATAATTTACATATTTTATTGTTATAATTTAATAACAACATAAAACATAAGCCACTGTGCTAAAGGCATCTATGAATACACCATAACATTTTTTGCAAATAACTGAATTTGAATTTTGACATATCTTTGATAAAGCACAAATATTTGCTATGAGATTTAAAATTTAAAATTTCTGAAATATTCTTTGAATACCACATTACAAAATGAAATTAAAATAATAAAAAAGTAAATAGCATTAACATCAATCACTAGTTTGTAAAATAACTTGAACCTACCCATTAAAAAACATTTACAGACAGCCTTCTCTGAAGAAAACTTTTGGCAATGCATGAATATAAAGAAGCGTAAGAAGGTTTGAGCTTCTTATTCTACTAGAATGTGCCCGTATGAACCCACGATTCAAGACAGTATCCAGAGAAGAATATTTGTTTACTTACTAAAACAGGTCATTCATTACCCTTTTGAAATAAACCCAAACAAAATGAAATACTTTAATAAGATATACATATTATGAAAATAATGACTTAAGGAAATTACTACATTCCAATTCGAGAATGAGATATTTTCCTTATCACCTTGGTTCTAAAACAGACAGCAAAGCATTAGTTGTGTTATCTTAATGTAGAAACAAAAAAGTTTAATCCCTCAATTAAGGGATTAATTAATCAATCCCTTATGTCTATCATTTTTTCTCCCTTAGTAACACTAAATATAAGTCAATACATCAATTCTCATATTTTTATGTTATTAGATTCCCAAAATATAGTAATTACATCATTACTAGGTCTCTTTTGTGACTGGATAAGATTAAAATAAATTTGTGACAACATGGATGGACCTAGAAGGCATTATGCTAAGTAAAATAAATCAGAGAAAGACAAATACTGTAGGTTCCCACTTATATGTGGAATCTACAAAAAAAAAAAAAAAAAAAAAAACCAAATAAGAATCCAAACTCATACAGAGAACAGAGTGGTGGTTGCCAGAGGCAGGGGTTGGGGAGTATGGGCAAAACGCGTGAAGATGGTCAAAAGGTACAAACTTCCTAAGTCCTGGGGATGTAATGTATAGCATGATGACTGTAGTTAATACTGTACCGTATATTTGAAAGAGTAGATCTTAAAAGTTCTCATCACAAGAAAAAAAAATGTGTAGTGATAGATGTTAACAGAATTATGTGGTGATAATTTTGCAATATATACAATTATCAAATCATTACGTTGCACACCTGAAACTAATATGTTATATCTCAATTAAAAAAAAAGACTAAAATTTTAAAACAACGTGAAATACGATAGAAATATGTTTAACACACTCAGCTTTTTAAAATGTAGTCTTGAAATCTTATTGTTAAAGTAACAAAGAGAAATTTGTTTTCTTAGGACTAAAAATACTCCAGCTTTATAAATCATAGACTAACCTATGGCTGCTCAGGTGGCATTTTACATCACCGTCATTAGTTCATAAGCACAACATGAAGCCAACATCCTATAGTTTTTCTTAATAGAAGAATATAGCCATTCAGTATGTGGCCAATATATTCTGGCTGTTTCAGATGAGATCCAGATTGCTAAGATAACGTTAACATGCAGTCTGAAACCAAAATCCTTTTTAAATTTTTTGGTTTAAGTGAGTACTGTACTTACTTATGCAGTGAGGTGTTAAAAGGTAAAGGGGGTGGTAATTATAGGAAACTTTCACTTCCTAATATATATTTGGAGGATTTTTTAAATAAGAATATGTTAATTATGTAATTTAAAAGGTATACATATACAATAAAGCTGTTAAAAAATATAACTAAATATGCATCCTTATATGTGATTTGGATGAAAGTAAAAATCAGATAAAAAATTTAACAGAAGAAAAAAATTTTTTTTAAGGCACAATAGGAATATATTCTAAATTTTTCTAATGCAACAAGAAAGCTGACTTGCCCTTGAAGCTGCGATAAGTAGTAATTAGAAGAGAACACTAAAGAGTTATGTCAAGAAATATCAATTACTGTCACAAAATATGGCCTTCCTAGAAACTGGGGAATTAGTTAGTGATTAAAATTTGATTAGAATCAAGTTAAATTATGTTATACAGAGATATGTAAGATACATATAAGACCTTTCCATAAATGTTACATGACTTTCTCAAAGCAATGCAAATAACAGATTTAAATCTAAAACAAGGTCTATACCAATGTTCTTTTCCCTGATTGTATAATGTTAATTATACTTCTTGAAACACACTTTTCCAGTAAAATTACTCCCAGGGTAAAACCTCTGGAGCTGAATTTAACCACCTCTTTCAGGCAAAAAAAAAAAAGGTTTCCACTCAATTTAAGAAGCTATGGAAATGATTTAGTTCACTCTACCAGCTGGGTACTTTATCAGGACTATGCAATTCTATCCCCTCTTTTTGATTCTTTATAAGACTTTAAAAGTGCCTTTTTACTTTCTATGCTTTTGTTTAGTAACAGGCCCAGTACATTACTGAATCTTTGCTAATTTAAATATTACTCAAGATGAGAGGTCTTGTGAAAGGGCAAAACCATGAGGCTTATCACATATGACCTATAAGACTATATTAACAAGATTAGTGGTAAAATATTGTTAAAACCAAAAAAAAAAAAATCAGTTGTCTGATTTTTTTGTAACCATAAAGAAATGTTCCTGGCTATATCTGCAGGGCCTAAAACCACGCCAGACATAGCAGATGCTCAGGAAAAGAAGTTGTGCTCAATGAATGACACAGCACCTTCAATATGAGCTACATAGGAGCTATATTGTTAATTTTGAAACAGTACTGTAAAAATACACAACCAGTAAATCTGATGCTGTAATACTATTATTCTTTTAATAAAAGCTAACATTTATTGAGTTCTGACTGTATACCAGGCACTGTGCTAAGTGTTTTACATGTATTATTTCAGTAGGCCCAATTACTGCCTCCATTTTAATAAGGGACATCCCCATTTTAAGATGGAACAGTTACTGTTTATTTGGCGAACAACTGGTTCCTTCTTGTCAATCAGGTCTCTGCCCAAAGTAATCTCTATAGAGGTCTTCCCTAATCACCTTATTTGAAAGTTAACCCAAACTTTCTACTTCCTATCCCTGTACCTCACCGTATTTATTACCTTTATAACCCTCCACAATCTGTAATTATCTTGCCTACTTACCTATTTACTGTCTGTCTTCCCCATTAGAAGGCAAGTCCCCCGAGGGCAGGGATCTTGTCTGACTTGCTCACCATTATATTGTCAGCACTTAGCACAGTGCCTGACATACAACGAGTGCTCAATAAATATTTACTGAATAAATCATTCAATGAATGACAGAAGATAAGTTAACCTCAAGTGCAGTTATAATATTTTCTTTGTGAAAGAAAATCAGTTGCCTGTACAGAGTATTTAAAAAAACAAACAACAACAAAAAAAACAACCAAAAAAAATATTATAAGACAGTAGTAGTTAAAAGCATATGGTTAGAAAAGCCTAGGTTTGAATCCTGGCTCTTGTCATTGTGTGATCTTGGGCAAATTACTTAATCTAAGTCTCAATTTTCTCATCTATAAAATAGGGATAACACTGTCTACTTAACAGAATGGTCATAAGGAAAAATTATATACTTAGCACAATTTTTGGAATAAAAATAGCAATTATTATGCTGGCTACTATAAAATGCTAGTAAAGGAAATGTTTAACTAATTAGACTCTTATGCTACCCAAGAAAGTCCCTAGGAGAGGTAAAACAAGTAGGCATGAAAGAAAAAAACCTGACTAGTTAATTTTATGGTATCTAGTAACCTCGATAAGACAAATAAGATGATGACCTTTTGATTTTATATCATGCATACCAGTAAAACTGGCATTTTGAATAATGGGTCAACGTTTCAAATGGAGGTCAGTAAGAAAATGAATTCTGTTCATTTAATTTGGGTTAGTGGTTGTCTTGGGATGCCAGTAATAGCAGTTTTTCTGGTCTAGAAAGAATCTGTTCTGTTACTAAACAATTTTTAAATTATACTTTTGGGATCACTCAGCTGATCCCAACAGTGAAGTTACTGTCCCCCAAAATAGTCTTACTTTCCATACAGTTAGCCTAACTTCAAGTTCAGAGCACACTTGAGACCTTATCTTGATTAGCACTAAATATAAGATAATGACTGCATATACAGTTTTATTTTAAACAAACACTCTGAGAATGATAGCGCTAAAAGAGGGGGAAAAAACCCCTCAAACAACCAGAGAAGTAGGCAAGAGAAAAGAAACAAGGGGAAAAAAAAGCTTTAAAATCAATAATTCCAAAAGACCAAAATCATTCTAAGGGAAAAAAGCTTTCATATATGCTTATGAAGCAGTTAGTAATAAATAGGAAATAAGTGTTCTTTTTCATATATGTTTGCTTAACTCCTCAGCTTCATCCCAGCCTTTGACTTTCACCTCTATAAACTACAGCCCCAACCTAGGCCTAGAGCTTTTTATCTACCACTTAACAGGATTTAGTTTAAGTTAACTCCTTCAAGAAGCCTTCCCCGACAGTTCCAAGGCTGGGTTATATATTCCTTGTATGAATCCTCACAGTGCATCTTCCTAATATAGCATATATCACACTGTATTAATATCAGTCTTTTTCTTTTCTTATTTATTATTGCATCTCTAGTAGAAATGAATGTCTAAATAGCAATTACTAAAGGGTAAAGGTGTTGTGCAATGATATATCTGAGTTTTGAATTTTTTTGTGTGTGTGAGGAAGATTAGCCCTGAGCTAACATTTGTTGCCAATGTTACAATTTGTTGCCTTCCTCTTTTTGCTGAGGAACACTGGCCCTGGGCTAACATCCATGCCCATCTTCCTCTACTTTTTTTATATGTGGGATGCCTGTCACAGTATGGCTTGATAAGCAGTGTGTAGGTCTGCACCCAGGATCCGAATCTGGGAACCCTGGGCCACCGAAGTGGAGCCCAAACTTAACCACTACACTACCGGGCCGGCCCTGAGGTTTGAATTTTTTACTATGTCTCCTAAAAGTGTCAGAAAATGTCAGTTTCTAGTTCAGAAAAATTTCAAAAGAATACTGAAAAGAACTATATAACATATAAAATGTTTTATTACATCCTTTGTGTTTTCCAGAATACCAAGTCCACTTTAGTCAATGGATGTAAACCAGTAAGTGAATGTGTCTGCTTACAAATTGTATTAACAGTAAATGAGTTTCAACCCTCCTACTAAATATATACTGAATTATATATTTACAGAAAATATCAGCCTGAAATGGCACCAAATTCTTAGCCTACCCACAATTCTCAGCCTTGACCCTGATTGCAGCACACAGCACTAACACATAGCAGGCCTGCAATAAATAATTCGTTAAAATAATGAACCAAAAAACCGTTTTAAAGCATGTGACCGATATCTTCTTATATTAATTTCATTACCTGCATACTCATAAAACCAAGCCAGGCACTTCTTGCTTGAAAAATGTTCCTCTCCACTTATTAGTCTAGCAGGGGGTTGGGATCTGCAATAGCTTAGAAAACACACAAATGCCTAAGAATTTTATCAAGTCTCAACTTTTAGTGAAAAGCTAAGTTCAATATGAACTACTTCAATTCAAACTAAACAAAGTATTTTTTTTTTACAGCTGGCATTAGAAGAAAAAAATTGGAGTTGTTAAGTATTTGCAATTTGAAACAGTACATTAAAATTTCTGGCTAACAAAACCCAAATGCTACTTTGCTCATTATCAAATTCCAAAAATATCAACTAAAATTAATTCCCCAAATTTCAAAAGACCACACAGAAGTTCAACCTAATGTTCTCAATGCAGGACTGGTACTTGGGAAAACATAAATCCTGCCAGTGATCCTTCTGCTGATTTGCATGAAAATTATATTTGTGTATAATAGGTACACATTTGAAAACAAAATCTTACAAAGTATATTTTGATACTTAATGAATCAATATTTCAAAATAAAATTATGTATTAAGAGTTATTCATCATCAACTAAGATTAAATAGATATTTAAAGATAAAAGATGATTTACGACCTATGGGTAAAATTGAATTCCACAGATTAAAAAAAAAAAAAAACAAAAATCTCCAAAAGATAGAAATAGTACAAATAATTGGGCCAAAGCTATTTAATCCCAGAGTCTGTTTATCTTTTTCATAAAATCATTAAAAGTTAGGAATTTCATAAATGGCCGTAGGATTTAATGAACTTCAGAGAACCTTCTCAAGAAGCACAAATAGTTACACCACCATAACATAGAAATGCTATAACTTCTGCAACTGACTAATGTAATGTAACGTAACGTAAAATAAGGGTACTATATTTAAAATTTTAAGTTGATTGAGCAAAGTATCACCTGAGTTCTAATAATATTGACTGCTCAGCTATTTTAATGTGCTCAATTTAAATAATTTTGATACATTATACACTTAAGATGACTACAAGTTAGAATAATAAAAAACTAATTTGCAAGTTTCATAAAAATATGAGCTAGTGGAGTAACCATGTTAAATTCTAGTGTGAGTTACCAAGAGGGATATGAAAACAGCACCATCTTTCACAGTAACAGCCCAAGAAATATCCTTAGGCTCTTTTGCCAAACACAATAATGAAGGAAAAAAATTTAACCAATTATGAAAAGAAGATGCAGACTAAATAAGCCACCGACCTCACATTTTAAGCAGGTCTCTCTTTAAGGAGAGCTCTATTATAATCTCCTCTTTATAACGCTGGCTAGTCTTCTTTTCAGAGCAGCACCTAAAGGTGTCACATCAAGTGCCAACCACTGATACAGCCAAAGACATCCAATAAGCGGATTTAAAAAACCCACTTCTCACGCCTAAATTGCAATGATTTTTTGCAGCATACAAGGTTGCTGCGATGCTCCAATGACATGCTACAATGGGATCAAAGAGCTATAACTATAGCTTTGCTTTGTTTTCTTTTTCTCCAAGAGGATACAGAGTACAATAGCTTTCAAATTATTAATATTTATATTGAGAACTAACAGCAGAATGCTAGAACACAAAACGCATACAGGGCCTTTCCAACTCTGCACAGAGGGACTTGGCGCAGGTGGAGGCGCTATCCTTCCAGAAAATGCAGCTCCCGCGATTTAAAGGCCTGCTGCTGGGATCGTCCGGGTTAGACCACTCCAACTACTACCGGAGATCAATTATAGCACAGGGAACTTTCCTTTCTACCATCCCCATGGCAGTTGTCAGGTCAAGAGTCCTCATGCTCTGCTCCTTTCTTCACACTCTACAAAGAAATTCTAGAAGTGACCATTCCGCGGATCTGTACTCACTTCTAGGTCTGGAAAGAAGGCCAGGGGGTGGGGGTGGGGGTGGGATTGAGAGTGTAGGGGGTAAGGGGAAAGAGCGCAATTTACGTACGCATTCTTGTTTCCCCACCCTCCAGGGCACGGAGACTCCAATGTGAGGAGACTTCTAGTCCCTCCATGGGCGCCAGAGCGCACACACCGAACACGAGGTGGAGCCGGGGCAGGCACTCGCGGTGTCCTGCAGCCACCACCTAGCTTTCTCAGAGTGGGCTCACCTCTCCCCAGCCCGAGCCCCGGAGACCAGGCCCGCCTCCTTCTCCCCTTGCCGTCCGGCGACGGAGGAAGGAGGAAAGATTGAAGGGTGGGGGGAGGTGGTACCTGGAGATTTTACACTTTTTCAGGCCTCCGTCTTCCGCTACTGCCGCTGCCACCCCAGAGGATTTTCTCTTCTTCTTCACTGGCATCTTCCGCCCTCCCCGGCAGGGCGGGCAGGGGAGCCGGGGAAGGGGATCGCTGTCCGCTGAAGACTCCTCAGTGCTGACACCCGGTTCCCAGAGACAGCAGCAAGTGAAGGAGCAGAGTCGCCAGCCCCCACCAGAGCGGCCCAGGCCGGCCGCCGCTCGCTCCCAGATCTCCTCCTCGTCCTCCTCGGCTCGGGGCAGCGGGTACTCCTCGCCGGTGGACAGTGCGGCTTGGTCACACCGGGAAGAGACAACGCGGACAGCGCGGCACCGCCACCACTCACAGATTCCGAGAGCAAGAGACTCAGTCCGACCTGGAAGCGAATCGCCCAGGACCGGAAGTGACGCAAGCTCAGAGCCGGTCGCCGGGAGGGGCGTGGCGCTGGTTGGCCCTGGCTCGCCGTCAGCCAGGCTGAGCGACGGTGTGTAGCCGCCAGGAGTGGAGAAATCGTGAACTGGTGGCCAGTTGACCGTCTTTGGTTGTCCAGGCTATCCCGACCTTTCTCACGAAGCTTCCATCCTGTCCTAATGCTGGTAGTCACCCTCAAGAAATGTTTTATGAAACCACTAATACTCTGCAGTTGGCGTTACAAATAACCTGGTAAAGTAAACCAAGTTTCATTTCTGAGCTCTTCCATTCGGTAAACTCACGTTAATTGTTCCCCACCCCTTAAATGCTTGTTTTCTTTACGGGCCAGCGATCAGCCTCCCGCTCTCCCACCTCCATTTCTCCATCATCCCTGACCTCTGCTTCTCATTTCCCCTTGTTAAAACTTAGCTCTACCATTTCTATTTCCACAGAGCTCACCTTTCAGATAAGCGCACGTGATCGCTGACTTGGTAAAGAGAATTTGGGGGACAATTCTAAGGGGCCTCCCCCCAATCCTTACTACCCAGTACACTTGCAATCACTCCAGCTCCACTTCAGTGAAAATATTGTTTATAAATAAAGGTTACTGCATGTAAAGATTATATAGTAGAAAGTCGTTTTACTCAATATATACATGTAAAATAAGTTCACATCTGTAAACCAACTGTGATGGTAGAGGACTAAAAGTCTCTTTAAACTCGATAACAGTTGATGAGGTTCTGGTGAGACTACCTCCATCTTGGCACCCTCACCTGGCCAGTCAGAATATCATATTTCCCTAGTGCCATTAATTGGTTCAGAACAGACACATGACTCAAGACCTGCTAGTCAGTGCCATGATATGAAATTGAACCATCAGGAAGCAACTTTATTTCCTATGGACTGAACTTGAGAGGATGTGGAGAATGAAGCCAAAACTCAGAAGAGACCAGAATCAAGCAGAAAGACAAAAACCAAGACATGATTTTATGAAATGAGCCCTGAATCTATGTATGCCCTGGAATTTTCAGATACATGAGCAATAAATCTCACTGTTTTGCTTATGCAATTAAGTTCTCTGTTACTTACAACCAAAACAATATTGTTCTTGAATGCTGTAATCCTACAACGCAGTTAAAAATGCATGAGGCCAAAAAATCAAATCTGAATAAGGTCAAGTCTCTAAAAAGAAATGCCATCTGTAAGTAGAGGATGGTGGAACATATTAACACTCAATGCAATCAGCAAATCTATATTGTCAGAAAATCTACAGGAAAAATGACCCAGATTCCATAACAAATTATTATAAAGAGAGTGGGAGAAAGAAATTTTAAAAGATATATCAATCATTTTTCATATGTGGTTCTTATTTGAATCTTGATTCAAATAATTTAAACAATATCATGACATTTATGAGGCAATTGGGAATTTGAACACTAGCTGATATTGATGAAATGCTAGAACAGGCAAAACTTATTTACAGGACAGCATCAGTGATGCCTGGGGACTGGAATGGGATGAGGATGGAGGGGGAAGACTGCAAGGAAGTACAAGGGAAGTTTTTGGATAATAGACATATTCTATGTCTTGATTTAGGTGGTGGTGTATATACTTGTCAAAACTCATTGAACTGTACAATTAAAAGTGTATGCCCTTTATTGTATGAATATTATTCTTCAGTAAAGTTGATTAAAAAAAAGTGTGAACCAAAAAACAAAACAAAACAAAAAGACATGACAAAATACCATTAGAAATAACCAAGCTTATAAGTGAGCTGCAAAAGCTAAACATGCCTTTCCCCAAATAGGACAAAGGAAATGGAATAAAATTCTAAAAGATAAATACTAAGACCTCAGAGGGATATCCTTCCAGAGAGCAGAATCAAGGCCTAATTAAGGGGTAAGGAAGCTTCATAATGCCTGTCTAGCAGGATACCAGCACTGCTATGGACCAGTGACTATTGCACATCTTCCATTCTTCTCTAAATAGGAATATTTATTGTGGTTATTGTGTCCATTCTCCACTGTTGTTTATTGCATGAGAGTGGGGAGCAGATAATTATCTCTTAGTTCATAGGTCACTGGACCATAAAGAACTACTTCTAGACCTAAGGAAGAAGACCCCACCACACCTGGAGATTCTGGAGATTCAGCTGAATGCAGTGATTGGACAGGAGCCTACCTGCATCTGTAGAATTCTCTGAAAAATAGATAAAGGACTGGGTTTATGTATGGTATTCATTCATCCAGTCTGTTATTCAAACAATATTTAATGATCACTTAAACCAGGAACTGTGCTGGATTTAGGGATATAAAGGCAGGCATGACTCCTGCATTCATGAAGCTTACAGTTTGGAGGGGGAAATATAAAGCAGCAGCCTATTTGTACTTAAGAGAACTTTATGAACAAAGAATAGGGTCAGTAATCTATACTCGTCAATAATATTAAGGAGAGGGTGATTTCCAGGGTCATGTAGACTGTTTTCTTCATTGCCTTCTCTGATCAGTACCTATTGCCACCACCATACCTCCATTCTCAAAATGGAGCATTCCATCATCCCAATTACTTTCACAGAAGGGGCATATTGATAGCATCACTGCCTGTGAGCAGTACAGAAATGCCTAGTTATGTAGTTTTAATCTTTGCTGCTGCTCACATGGATAGTACATTATTTTCCATCAAGAAGGCACCTATAATGGAGAAACAAACTATGACAGAGTACTGTGGTTCTTTGTCATGTAGTAGAATTTTTTAATGAAAGTAATGAGAAGGAAAGGAAGGGATGAAGAATTTACCTTAAGCAGAAACTCATGTGTTCTGGTTTCAATTCCAAAGAAGACACTCACTGCCCTTAGGTAAGACACATAACTTCCTTTATCCTTCATCTTATCATACTGTTACATATAAGGATATAGAAAAAAATAACTAAATAATATCAATCTGTAATGACAGTGGATGTATATTTATGTGAAATAGGGCAGTAGGCAAAAAGACTTGACTGGGCCATAGCTCTGTCATCTGTTTGACATGTTGGTTATATACATACCCCTTAGCTCTTGGGGGTTATAGAATGAAGCCAGGAAAAACAGCTTTTAAAATAGCTGTATCTGTATTAAAGCAGCCAAAAATAGTGCTGTAAAATGTGCTAATTTATATATTCTGTTTATTTTATTTTAGTTCATTTTTTTCTTACCACCACCTTAAAATAGGGATTTTCCACTTGCCAGAAAAACAAGCAACACAGAAATTAAGTGATTTGTGGGATGCCACATGTTACTGTAGTCCTGGATCTATACAAATACTCTCCATACATTAACACTGATTTTCAAAACAATCTTGTAAGTCAAAATTTTGTAAAATATTTTCATACCCATAAACCCAGAGAAATAGGATGTTAAAACAGGACTTTCGGTTTTGGAGCTTCGATAAAGCCCATGAGAACTCGTGTTTTAGGGAGGCCCAACAGTGCAGAACTATGTCACACCACGTACCCCATACCTCCTAAAGCAGTGTGCTAGAGCACATCAATTGCAGCCTGTCTGTGGCCCTGGTGCACTCTGGGACCCAGCCTGAGGAAGTAGCCACTATCTGGAACATTGCCTGTCATCACGACAGACAGAAAGGAAAATACGGTGAACCCCATGCTGGCTGTTAAAGGTTCTGCCCTGAAGTGACGTGTATCACTTCTCTTTAAGTCATACACCTGAGGCTACTCCTGAGTTCATCAGGATAGGAATGTATAATCCTCTTGCAGAGAGGGGCACCAAATAAAGGTAAATACAGTCTACAACAGTATGGTATTGGAATGAGATTTTATTCAAGATCCAGGGATGAATGAGTTCACAGAGTAGTTTTAAAGGGGTAGTAGGGAAAAGCATAAGATTAGTTTCTGCGTATACCTCACTGCGGCAGATTGTATTTCCTAAAGATGGTTGAAATGATATCTCTCAACCCACATATTCTTCTAGACCCTTGCCACTCCCTATCAAGAATGGAGTCTAATTAATAATAATAATAATAATAATAATGAATCAATATTGGTTCATTAATTGTGAGAAATGTCCCATACTAATGTAAGATGTTAATAATAGGGGAAACCGGGTGTGAGATATATGGGAACTTTCTGTATTATCATTGCAACTTGTCTGTAAATCTAAACCTCTTCTAAATAAAAAGTTTAATTTTAAAAAAGTCAAAGTGAACAGAAATCAATAAATAAAAATATAAAAATATTGCTGGAAGAAAGCAATAAACTCAAGAGAGCCACTTAGGTTCAATGCCTTTGGAAAGGTCAGAATTCATAAAATTCTGGATGTGGGATCAGAAGTAGAAAGCATTGTCTTGCATTATCAGGTGGCCCAAAACAGAGCACTTTCAACTTGAAATTTAACCAGGAGGACTAAGAATAAGTGCTCAGGAGGGAAATCATATTAAGATGGACACTTGATTTGCCTTCCAGCATGTGAATATGTATCCCAAATGAAGAAAAGTAGTTCATAAAATCAAAATTATTCGCAGAGAGTGCATTGTTTTGATGACTTGCTGCAGAGAAGAACTCTTTTTGAATGAGTGGTAGAGAAGACCAAAAGTGAGTGCAGGCAGCTTGTGTACAGGTGTGTTCTAATAAGCATTTTTACAGTGTTAAGCGTAGATGGGTGTCATGTTTTTCTCACACTATGTACTTCCCAAACTTAATATTGGAAAGATGGCATAGTGGAAATGGTTTCTTAAAATGAGAACCACCATTAGACTGATGGATTTGCCTTTTTTAACTTTGCAACCTTGTATAAAACATTCATTCATGTTGTGTCTCAGTTTTGCCATCTGTATAATAATAACATATGCCTTATCTAGACATCACAGCATTGTGTTGTTGAAAAAATATGAAAATAAATGTGAAGGTGCTATTAAAACTAAGGGGTACATAATGATGTATCAGCTGGAGTCCTTAGGGTACACCCAGCAAAAATCAAGTTCTACTGGTCTAGAAAGGGCATTTATTCAAGGTAGTCCACAGAATCAAAAGAAGGGATTGCAAAGAAGGAGCCATGTAAAAGGGGTGAGTTGCCCTATTTTCCATAATAGGGCTATCCCTTCCACTCTTTTTTTGAATGTCAAACACTCTGTCTTTAGTTTTAGGGATCTTAACCATGTTCTTAGCCATTAAAAATAAAGTTGTCTACACAGGGCAGTTTGAATGGCACTCAGCAAATTCTTCAGCCATGGTTAGGCATCACTTCTTTGGAAAATCCACAGGAGACATGTGAACAGTTACTGAAGACCCTCGCTATTCAGCAGAGAGCAGATTAGTTCACATGACTCAGCAGCAGAGGCAGCAGAGGCAATGATTCCTAGAAAGGGAGTAAATGATCTGCAAATAGTCTCAGACATTTACTTGGCACCCACACTGCTCTGGTCATTTGCAAAGACAATATTAGAGTTTCTTGATGCTAAGTCTGCTCGTCTTCACGTGTTCTATTCCCTCATCTCTAGCCTCACAGAGACCTTCTCCAAGTTTGAGCACTATCTAACTCCTGAATCCGTCTCCTAGCCAAGATGACCTTCAACTGTTATGGCATAAACTCTATGCTCTGCTTCTTTCAGGGCCTGGACTTTTAATTTGCAAGAGCCTTCTTGTCTGTAAAGAAAATCTGGCTCATGAGAATCAAAAGTTTTGGCTTTCAACTGCAATTTTTTTTAATATTGTGGGGTTTCAAGAGCATATTTTTAAAGTAATGCTAAACATCAACTGTTTTTCATTTCTGAGTTTACAGTCATAATTCTTGAGGCAATGAGAATGACACTGACTATAATGGTCATGAGCAAGAATGTGCAGAAAAGAAAAGCACACAAAAACTTTTTCAAGATATTTTCTCTTTATGGGCTAAACAACCAGAGAATTCTCGGACAACCTTCATTGAACTCTTCCACATTCTATATGCAGCTAAGGCTTCCACCTGCACATCCTCCTGGTATAAACTACACCTCGGACCAACTACATAATCGGTGAGTCCCAGAGCAAAATGAAAATGCAGAGTCCCTTGTTCAAAAATTATTTAATGCTCTGTGAAAGCAGACCATTAAACCAAGTGCAAGCCCTTTTAAGCAAGAGGCCCTGTTTGACTGCATAGATTGCATGCTCATGAAGCCGGCCTTGCACACACCTTAAAAGCAAGTCAAGGCTTGAGTGATCTACAGGTTCATTCAATGGAGGCCCACGTTTCTGTGTCAGAGAGTGCTATGTGTTCATTAGAAGTCATTCCTTCTTATTCTGGAGACACAGTAAGATTACATTTCTCACCCTCTCGTACAGTCAAGAATTGCCATGAAAATCTCCTGCATAAGGCTTCACTCTTTACCTGCCAATCAGCCAGATTCAAATAACTCAGGAGAGAATCCTACCATCCTACAGGATAATGGAGCCACAAAATGGAAGAGGTCTAGATCCCTGAATCATCACATGGAAGACTGCCTGGCAAATACCACATTGAGCTGTCAAATGAAGGAGAAATAAAATTCTATTATGTTAAACCACTGAAATTTTGGGGCTGTGTATTCCAATATTTTCCATAACTTGACTGAATCTGTCAAGATGAGGCTATGTTACAACAACAAGAGACACCAAAATCTCAATACCTTATCATAACAAAAGTTTATTTCTTGTTTATTGTATGCCATCAAGAAGACTATACTCATCCTAGCTACTCAGGGAGCTAGGCTGATAAAAACTTCATCTTGATTTATGCTTCCATGATCACCAAAGCAGTGGGAAAGAACCATGATAAATCATACATTGGCTTTTAAGTTTTCTGTGCATATGTGATATATCACTTTACTTACATTTCAAAGGTCAAAACAAGTCAAATGGTGCCTATCTTTAAAAAGAGTAAAAAAGTGCAATCCTACTATGTACCAAAAAAGGGGAAATCCAAAAATATTTAGTAAATGACAGTAGTGACTACCACATGAATACAGACATTGGTGATTAGAAGGAGGGTGCTGCCATACAGAACTTAAAATATGTTGTGTAGAATAACTAGTCAGGCAGCCAGCAACAAAGAAACAAAGCGCAGCCCTAGTGTGCTTTGGTAAAATATTTAGTAAAACTGTCCCCAGTGAAAAGTAGAAGTTGACTATGAGTTTTGTGAGACTCTAACTCTATGGGAAGTAGATGGAGGCAGAGTGATAGCATGTTGGCTACAGTTATCTGCCTTTAGC